TCTGGGTGTCTTGTTTTGAATAATGACTTTTACTGAGTTTACTAGACAGTTGGCACAGCTCTGAGTACACTATACACCTAAATTCATTTAAGCTTTTTAACAGCCACGAAGGAAGCTACTACCTGAACTTTACAGAGGACACAGAGGCACGAAACAGCTAAAAAATGTTTACTAGGAATTCTGATTCCAGAGCCCATCTTAAAAAAGATTTTTTTTGGGGGGGGGTCTTTTTGAGACTGGGTGTCCCTGTAGCTCCAGGCTGGCCTCAAACTCACAGAGGATCCGCTTGCCTCTCCCTCCCGAGTGCTGGGATTAAAGGCGTGTACCACCACACCTGCTAAAAAATATTTTATTTAGTTGAGCGTGGTGGTGTACACCTTTGATCCTAGGGCACTCAGGAGGCAGAAGCAGGAGGATCTCTGTGAGTTCAAGGCCAGCCTGGTCTACATAGTGAGTTCCAGGACAGCTAGGGTTACAGGGAGACCCTGTCTCAAAAAGACCCAAAAAATTTTTTTTATTATTTTATTTTATTATATGTATGAGCATACTGCCTGCATGTTAAATACGTGCACCTGTGTTGTACAAAGCCCACAGAGGTCAGAAGAGGGATTGGAATTCCCTTGGAACTGGAGTTACGGATGCTTGTTAGCTGCCATGTGGGTGTTGGGAACTGAACCTGGGTTGTCTGCAAGAGCAGCCGGTTCTCCTAACCACTGAGCCATCTCTCTAGCCCCTTATTTTTCTTTTATGTGTATGTGTGAGTGCCAGCCATATATATGTGTACCATGTGTGTATCTGGTGCCCATGGAGGCCAGAAGACAATGTTGGATCCCCTGGAACAGGAGTTACTGGCAGTTGTGAGCTTTCCTCCAAGAAGAGCAAGTGCTCTTAACTGCTAATCCATCCCTCTAGCCCCCAAAGCCCATCTTTTAATTATTCTACAGTGACTTTTATACATGCAGTTTCAACATCAATCCACATTTTAAACATGTATTAAAATATAATATTTAATCTGATCACAGCAAAGTCACTGGCAATTTTTAACTTTTTCATTTTTTAAAGGAAGAATTTTTGTAATACCTGAAACATATCCATGTTGCTGTCGTGAGTATATTCAACCACCACTGTCTGGGCTCGAGATAAAGTATATGATATGCTATGCTGGTCCTTGTTGCTTATTGCCTATGAATGAAAGTTAACAGCAAAAATTAGCAGTCAATCAAATCAGAAAATGTTTTCACCACAGGAATGTCAAAATATTTGTCACGTACACTTATGTATTTCTCTTCCTGAAATTTAGGGGTATAGGCTAGTAATGTTTACACAGCATTAACAGTGATCATGGTTTCCCAAGGTTGAGTGGTTATAGAATACTTTAAGACAATTACAAAATAAAACCAGAGTTTTAAAAAATATTTTATTTATTTTATATTATGTGTATGCATGTATTGCCTGCATGTAGGTAAGTGCACCCATGTCGTGCAATGCCTGAGGAAGACAGAAGAGGCTGTTGGATCCCCTGGAACTGTAGTTACAGACAGTTGTTAGCTGCTATGTGGGTGCTGGGATTCGAACCCGGGTCTCCTACAAGAACAAGGCCACTGAGCCATCTCTCCAGCCCCCAAAATCATAGTTTTTTAAAGCCTTAAAAGTTGTGTTTCCCTTGTAAGCACTTAAAATTATAAAGTGGTTAAAATCACATACCAGGTAGAAACTGAAACTAGCACTCAGTATTTTTGATAAAAATTAAAAATCTTGCAAGACACAAAAAAATTTTTAAGTGATCTAAAGAATTATAAAGTTAAGCTAGAATTACTCATTTTCTAATCATTTTGTGACTCTACAGATGACAATGTTTTATCATATGCTGGGCCTGATACAAAAAATTCACAAGATAATTAAACATTACAAAAGAAACAATGCAATGCACATGCTACATTCTTGACTTACTCTAAGAGTTGCTAAGTGAACCTTTCAGTTTTATTTTCAGGGGGGTTGGGGGTGGGAAACCTAGCTACTGCACAAAGGAAGTGGAAACAAGTTGTATAAAAGGTTAACAGATAAAAAGACGTAAGAGAGTGGTTAGACAAAGCAAAAGAATTAAAAGAAAAATGTTTGGTTTCAATTTTTACCTACTCTACAATAGATAAAGCTTTAAATAGTTTTAATATTAAGGAAATTAATTAAATCTCAAATATCCAAAGATAATAAATACCTGGGGTACTAACTACCTGGTTGTTTTTTGTTTTTGTTTTGTTTTTAATTTATCATTTTTATTTTATGTGAATGAGAGCTATGCCTGCACGTAGGTAAGTGCACCCATGTCGTGCAATGCCCGTGGAGGTCAGAAGAGGCTGTGGGATCCCCTGTAACTGGAGTTACAGACAGTTGTTAGCTGCCATGTGGGTGCTGGGATTCAAACCCAGGTCTTCTGCAAGAACAGCCAGTGTTCTTAACTGGTGAGCCATCTCTCCAGCCCAAACTACCTGGTTTTAAACAAAGTTTAAAAATTCCACTTTAGCCATGGTGGCATACACCTTTAATCCAAGCACTCAGGAGGAGGAGGCAGGTAGATCTCTGTGAGATAGAGGCCAGCCTTGACTATATAGCAAGTTCTAGGCCAGCTTGGGTTATAGAGAGACTCTGATACAAAAAAACCCTAAAACACCAAAACCTAAAACACCCACTTTAGCATCTCATTTGTTTATGGATTTTTTAATTTAATTTAAAAAACTTTTTTTGTTTTTTTTTTTTTTTGAGACAGGGTCTGGCTATATAGTCCAGGTTAACCTTCAATTTGAGATATTCCTGCCTCAGTCTCTGGAGGTCTGTGCCGCCTTACCTGCCTTTCTTTTACATCAGTTTTTTTGAGACAGTGTCTCATGTAGCTCAGGCTGATCTAGAACTCATTATGTAGTCCAGACTGGCTTTAAATTCTAGATCCTCTTGTGTCTCCCAAGTGCTGGGATCAGATATGTGAACCACCAGGCCTGCTAGCTATTTCTCTTTCAAACATTTTTAAAGATTTATTTATTGGGGGCTGGAGAGATAGCTCAGCAGTTAGGAACACTGGCTGGTCTTACAGAAGACCCAGGTTTGAATCCCAGCACCCATATGGCAGCTAACAACTGTCCATAACACTAGTTCCAGGGGATCTCACAGCCTCTTCTGTCCTCCTTGGGCACTGCAAGACATGGTGCACTTACCTACATGCAGGCAACACACACACACACACATAAAAATAATAAAGCATATATACAAAAGATTATTTATTTACTTATTTATTTAATCTGTATGTGTGCATGTGTGTGTATGTGTAGAGATCAGAGGACAATTTGTGGGAGTCAGCTTTCTCCTTCAACTATGTGGGTCCAGGGACTGAACTCAGGTTTGATAGGACATGCATTAATCCACCAAGCCATCCTGCCAGGTCTCCTTTTATGAGAAATTAAACTCTACAGACACAGCAATCGATGCGTCCCACATGCCCTTTCCTATGCTCTTTTCCCAGATATACCCATCCTCGAGGATGCAGGTTATTCACGTTTTACTACAGACTTAGGTCTTCAGAGGCATTTATAACTGTTCCACGTTTTAAATTCTACACTTAAACTCAGCATTGAGCGAAAAATGCTTTAAATAACCACTAATTAAGCCTGGCATGGTGGTACACACCTTTAATCCCAGCTCTCTGGAGGTAGAAGCAGGCAGAGCTCTGTGAGTTAGAGGCCAGCCTGGTATACACAGAGCTCCAGATCAGCTGGGGCTACAGGGAGACCCTGTCTCAAAAAGACAAAACAAACAAAAAACAAAAACCCCAAACCCTGCTAATTATTTTGGAATTTTGGGGGAAGTAGGGGAAGGGGACAGGGTCTTGAGGTGTTGCCCAGTTAATCTACAACTCTCCATCCTTCCTTCTGCAGCCTCTGGAGTACAGGGATTACAGGTGTGTGCCACAAAGTCAAGGTTAAAAGTTATCTTTTTTTTGGTAGTGTGGAGGTCAAACATATACACATTACATGTGTTAAGCAAGTGTTCTACACTGAGCTACATTCACAGTCCTGAAAGTTAATTCTTAATGGCTAAGGAGATTTTGTGGGCTCTAAGACCATAATTATTTTTTAGGTCTTAGATTAGGCATAAGAACTATGTCAAGGTAAGTCTCACTAAAAGTCAGTGTTTTAAACCTTCATCCCAAATGACTGCCAGACTTTAACAACTGCTTTCTTTATGACCTCAACGTTTTAAAACATTGATAAGAATCAATTTTCGATCCCTGTGACTCTTATTTCTTCGTAAAGAAGAAAAGGACTAACAGTGAAAACACAAAAGGCGTGACAGCATAAAATGAGGAAGGAGAGCTGCAGACAGTTCAGTTGGTAAAGTGCTCACTGCGCAGGCATGTGAACCTGAGTTCAGATTCCCAGCACCCATGTAAAAACAAAACAAAAAAACAGGTACAGGAGTGCAAACCTGTCACCCCAGTGCTAAGGAGGCAGAGAAAGGAGGATCTCTGGAACTCAGTGGCTAGTTAGTTTAGCTGAATCAGTAACTGGGTTCAGTGACACCCTGTCTCAAAAACTCAGATGGAGAACAACAAGAAAGACACCAGATGTCCACCTCTGGCCTCCACACGCATGAGTGTGCATACATAGACACAGATACACACATGTACACACATATGCTATACATGGACACATACATGCAATGAGAACGTGAAGGACATTTTAGAGGAGAGATTATAGATATTTTCCTTGATAGTGGTCCTCAACCAGAGGTACTTTCAGCCAAAGGGCACCTGAAAACAGGTACGTGCTTCTGGCTGTCACAATGATGGTAGGGATCAAATGGCATTGAGTGGATGGGGAACCAAGTATATTAAATATCCTGTAATATGTGGGACAGTCCTGTAATAATGAAGAACTTGCAAACCCCAAATGCCAAGAGCACTCCTATGGGGAAATACTACAAAAAGCACCTCAGATTGAAATCAATAAGCTACTTGCTTCTACCATCCACGAAGCACAGTCCTTCTCTGCAAAGGAGCAAAAGGAAACACCATAGAAAAAGCCTGCCTTCCTATACTCACTGGTGCTTTAACAGGAACGGAGGAGGCGAGCCAAGGCTTGAGGCCTCTGCTTTACACTCCAAGTGGGACATAAAACACAGGTAAAGGCCCAGTCGTGGTGGTGCGCGCCTTTAGTCCCAGCACTCGGGAGGCAGAGGCAGAGGCAGAGGCAGGCGGATCTCTGTGAGTTCAAGGCCAGCCTGGTCTACATAGTGAGTTCCAGGACAGCTGGGGCTATGGGAAGACCCTGTCTCAAAAAGACCAAAAAATACACAAAAACAGCTAAAAATCCAATTAACTTTGGAACTGGACATCTAAAACAGGGTACCATATGCCAATTTTAGCGCATCTTATGTATTTAACTTACAAAAACATAACACAAATGCTGTAATGTTTATATCCTAGTGTTAATTAGGAAATACAGGTACTTCCAAAAGTCAAGGTACTCTGTAATTTTTCTCATTTGGGTATTGTAGTATTGAATTCAGTCTGTGTTCAAAACTAGAAATAAAAGGAATTCAAAAGCAAAAATCTGACACTTCCTTTATTTCTATCAGCCTAAGAAAAGCACAAGTGTCCAGAAATGATCCAGTTTCTAAACCTTTCGGTGGAGAAAGAAAAAATCCTAGATGGATTAATAAGGTCAGGGGGGGTGAGAAGTTATATTGTAGGCACAGCTAAGAGTTTGTGTCCATTCAATATAACGATTGTAAAGGTCTACTTTGTACAAGGCACTGGAGGGAAATCTATGAACATCATAAAAACAATACAAGAACAAATAAAAACCAGAGGACCCACAGAGTCTTAGGGAATGGGAGTACTTCCTTCTAATTCCCACCTCCTGCTTATTGTGGGAACAACCACAAAACAAAAACAGAAGAGGAAAAAGAGGAGGAGGAGGAAGAGGAAAGAAAGGAAGCAGCTCAATTCTACACGGCAGCCTTTCAAATACTGTTTCCAAAGGCAACAGCCAAACCAAACAAAAGGACATTTTAAAATACAAATGCAAAGTGAATGCTGGGATATAAACACAAGTATCACAACATTTCCACGTTAGCTTCTTTAGCTTTTCGTTGTTCTTTTACCTTGGCAGCTTGAGGAGTACATGCAATATGCACAGTGCTGGGCTTCACCCCATTTGCCTTAGGTCTTTTAAACAATGCAAACCTACTTTTCCTCCTTCCTCTATCGCCGTTTGGGAGAGACCCATTATACCTGATGGGAAGGAAAAAAAGTTTAGATGATCTCTGAATCACACAATTATAAAACAAAAGTTAAATTTTGCTTTGTGAATTAATTCCCAATTAATTGCATCAAATTTCTTCCAGCAACTGCTCATCTTCAGATCAGCTGCCTGGGTGTGAAACAAAAAAGATTCTTTCTGGCTACATTTTACATCAGAGAGAAATCCTTTTGTGTTATACATAATTTTGAGTTATCTAAATAAGCAAGAGCTGAATGCCGGGATCTCTGAATCCTTAAAGCCATACTTTTCAGGGTAATGTTTTTTCAAGTGTTAATATAACCTTTAAGAGTACAGAAAGTGTTAAAAAAAAAAAATTCTTTAAGGGCGATTTCCTTTAATTGTGAACCAAACACTTTAAAAAGCTGAACTTTAGAAAAGGATTTAAACTTGTTAAAGCCCATCTACCTGGGTCTTCTGATCATTTCTCTAGAGCACATATACCCCAAAGGCAAGCAAGATATGACTGAGACAACTGGGGAAGGTGAGAAAAACTCTAACCATATTTGGGTACGCACTGCAGTCAGGAGCTATTAAATTCTACTCCATACACATCTTAATCCTAGCCTCATAAAAACTGCCAGATAAACAGGCCCATAGAAATTATTTTTCTAAAGGTAATACATATGACACCAAAAAGCCAGAACATGGGGATGGGGGGGCATTCTCTGCTGCTTCATCTAGGCATAAGCAGTAATTTAATCTTCCTTATTCACTGCTTCCCAACCCTCTTCCAGACACAGCTGGTGTATCTGAGCAGAAATGAAGCAGGAAACAGAGACAGATTTGAGGATGAGGTGACTATAATCAATTTATAAATGGCCTGCACTTGTGGTCGACAGGGGAGAAGAATCATATTCTAAAGTCGAGAAGAGTTCACTCAGTGACTGCCATATATAAAAATGATACCGTCTCAGAAATGTGGCTTAGGGTACAGTGCCTGCCTAATCACATGTGAGGCTGAGTTTGATTTCCAAAATGGTGAGAGAAAAAGGGGGGGGTGGTGCGATTGCTTCTCACTATGGGTTCCTTACGGCCCCTCACTACTGTCCTCGTAAGGTCCACAACTCAACCGCTTTCTGAATCTATGCTATTTCCCAAACTGTATTTCCAAATGGAAAGCTCTTTTCTAAGAAGCAACATCAGGAAACAGGCAACCTTGTTTGGTTACAAGTCTAGAATTTTATTTACATTAAGACATCAAGCACCAAACACAGAGATATTACTACTGCTAAAGCTTAGCTGAGAAACTTCTAGGCTAAGAGACAGTTTAAAACTATATACTAAGTTTTAGATCCTATTCTTCAATAATTCTCAAATTTTCTGCTAGAAGAATTTAACCCAGAATAGTTTTTGTTTTCTTCCTTCTTGGTTGCTAAGAGCCATTTGTTACTATGATTAAAAATCTATGTAATCCAAGGCTGTAATATCATGGTTACCACATACAGTTTAGGCTGGGGTTACAGGCATATGCCGCTACACCCAATTTAAGTTTGTTTTTTGATAGAAAACATTTAAATTTCAAAGGGTCTTACACTCTCTTTTCTAATTGTCATTTGTCTGTAAGCCTGCGACTTGCTCATGGAAACACCACTAGCACAAGCAATGGACCCTAGGACTTATGGCTTTCAGTCAAGTTCAGTATCACTTTTTTTGCTGTTGTTTTTGAGACAGGGTCTCCCTGTAGCCACAGCTGGCCTGGAACTCACTAGACCAGGCTGGCCTCAAATTCATAGAGCTCTGCCTGCCTCTGCCTCCCGAGTGCTGAAACTAAAGGCATGCGCCTCCACCACGCCCAGCCAGTATTACTTCTTATTCCTTTGATTCTTTTCTCTGACATATTATCACTTAAACAAGAAGTTATACCATTATGATTCTCAGACCACAAAGTCTAGTGCTCTACACATTAGGCAAGAAACAGCAGGTTTTAAAACATTTTATAATTTTCAGTCTCTAGACTTCAGGTTAGCAGACTGCATCTCCATTTTGACAGTCACTACACGCTCAGATTACATAACTGAAATGCTGGGATCATTCACTTTTCTAGGAGTTAAGTGAGTAACTGTTGAAGCAGACCAATACCTAGGTGCTGTGTTTCCCATATGCCTAAACAAATTCTTTCATCAAGAAATGCAGCAAAACTGGTCCTTAGGCACAAAGAGCTACCTCAGCAGGTGAAAAAAACAAAGATACTAACTTATGCAAAATGATCTACAGGAGGAAAGGTAAAGTTCTAAAAGATAGGACAGAAAAATATAAAGTCATCTTTTTTTCTAGGGGCAAGGATAAGGTAGTGTTTACTCAGTACTTAAACTTAGGAGAATGCCAGAAATGTGGGTATTAGGAATTTCTAAAATCAGTAGCTAACACCTTGGAACTTTAAATTATTTCTTTGGCAGTAGTGAAAGAAAAAAAAAAAAAAGCACTTCCAACCTACAGATCCATATTACTATATGGTGCTAGATTGCATGGCTGTCATGCAGAAGTCTTACCCTAAGACAATGAGTTCACCGTATTTCACTGGTGCTTTGGAAGGATGGCTTTCTTGATCAGGAGAAAACATGAGCTTGGCTGTCTTTCTCAAATCTTTGTTCACTGGTCAGGAGCCTTGAGACACCTTTTGCATTATTTCCTAGAGAGAAAAAGTTTTCATTACTAATATGAACAATGAATTTCAGTTTAAATAAAGGGCATTATTTTCCAACAGTTTTCTTAATCACATTATGCAAATCATCATGTAACAAACACATTATGTGATGTTTCCTCTTATAATGGTTATATATTTGATACAAAGTTTTCAAAATGTAAATCTGGCTGCCTTCTACTTTACAGACAGTACGTGTACATTTCCCCATTATGTCTACAAAATACAATTCAAGACCCTGGATATAATAATGCAGAAGATATGAAAATTTGAAAAAAAAAATGGCAGAAGAGATGGCTCAGTAGTAAAGGTGCCTGCCACCAGGCCTGACAATCTGAATTCCACAATGGGATCCCACACGGTGGGAGGAAAGTGCCAACTCCTGCAAGTTGTCCTTTGACCTCCACATGTGCATGCACATACTAAATAGAAAAAAAGAAGAAAAAAAAGACAGGAAAAGTTGAGAGAGGTAGAACAGGTAGGGACATAAGGATCCAAAAAACTATATGACAGTGAATTCCCAGTGTTCTCTTCACTAATATATACCAGGTGCAGAACTGAGGAAGCCAATGGCCTAGAAATATGGATGGGGACACAGAGAAATAAAAGCTTCCTTTCTGTTCAAAGGAACAATAAAGTGGCAGCCTAGTAAGAAAACTTTGACCGTAACTGTTCTATCACAGCCAAACTACAGAAAACACAATGTGCCCCTACTCCCACAGCAAGAGCTGTCTGGGGAGCCTTGGTATCTTCCTTGTAAACTCTAATAAGAGTCCAAAGCCCCACTCAGGTAGTGTTAATGTAGGTGTGGGAAGAAGCACTGTTACTCCAGGCACAGGCACACTCTTACTCAACTGCTATAACAGTGGGAACTTGTAGAAGGAAGAGCCCCAGTTCCACCTCCACTCAGCAGCAGCAAGGAGCCTTTCCCTCACCTGTCAAGAGAGGCTGAGCAGGAAACTTAGACTTCCTCTACTGTCAGTAATGGGAAGGTACCCACTACTCTGACAAAGCAGTGTCAGGAAAAGCCAGTGGAAACAGGTTCAGATAATATACGGTCTCGAAACACAGTTTGAAAATATCCAGGTTTCAACCGATCATTCCATCATAATAAGAACCAAAAAGATTTGAAACAATAAAAGAGGATATCAAAGAATAACAAGACCAAGACAACAGATCTAAGAATTACTTGATGAAAAGTTAGAAGCAGCCATGGTAAGAATACTTCGGTAATCACAAACTATATTTGGGACAGTGAGGAAAAAAGTCTCAGGAGAGAAATAGAAGGTATAAAGTGGAAATCTCAGAACCAAGATGCATATTAAACCACAATGAAAAGCTTATTAAATAGGCTCAATGACAAAATGGAAAGGCCCTAGAATCCAGGAACAGGAAAGTTGCATAAGAGAAACGATCCAGGCTGAACAGGAACAAATAGGGTCAACAGAGCCCTGTGGATCTGGGGAATACAGCAAAAGCGCCAACATTTGTGTCGCCGGACCCTCAAGCAAGAGAAGGCAGGGCTGAAACAACACTCACAGAAGCAGTGTCTGAAACACAATACAATCAGAATGGATTCAAGAAACTAAACCATTCCTCTAAGATAGCCTAAAGATAGACACACCAAGATAAAGTTGTGAAATCTGAAGTCAAAGAAACAAGTCTGAAAAGCAAAAAAGAAACATTTTATCTACAAGGGTTTAAAAAAATCATTAGAATAATTGGATTTCTCACTGGAAACCATAAGATCCAGGAAACAGTTGGGGGCTTAATATGTTTTTAAAGAACAAAACTCTCAAAAGAGGATTCTATATCCAATAAAAACAGAGGTGGGAAATCAAGACATCCTCAGATGAAGAAAAATTATAAACAAAATTGTCAGTGGTACATCATGAAGAATGGATAGAGGAAAAGAGAAACAAAAAAACAGCTAACATGGTAGCAAAAACATAGTAAATAAAAGAACAATTTCCTTCTTTTCTGTTTTCTAAACTACAGTATCAGAAAACACATGGCTACACCTAGAGTCTCAAAATGTTACTTGAATACCCATATCTGACTAATATCAATGTAGCACATGGTTAGCAAGTACTAGCCTGTGTTCTAGTTCTAGCCCTTTAAACAAAGCAATCTGCTTCCTCATCTCTAAAAATGAAGGGACTAAAGTAGAAAGAAAAGAATTTTGGAGCTGGAAAAATATAAGCAGCCATCTGGCCCCGACATAAGAATTTACAAGTACCGTGCACAGTGCTGTTATATAGGTTAGTTCTACTGTGTCTACAGCAGAAGAACAATTTTTAGCTTAGACAAGGAACTGAAGAGTGAGAGCAGGGCTAACATACACCTCCATTCTATACTTTTTAAGAGCCATTGGTCAAATTAGCTAGAAATATAGTATTTTCCCATCAGACACATTCTTACTCTGGCCCCTTAGAAGGCCTGCTTTTAGATTATTTGATTAGTGACACTAAAGTTTCAGTCAAAGGAATAAACTTGAATTTAGTTTCTATTTCTAATATTCTAATGTCTAAAGCAATTCAGTAGCATTAGTTATTTGTATACTTAAGTGATTCAAGATAAGGTTTTCTTAAACTCAGAATAGCATATAATCAACCAACACAACTAGCATTATTAAACTGAGAGTATAATGTGCCATGACAGCTAATTCTCTTTCAATGCAACTCTAGCACATACTGATAATTTAAGTCACTGGTACTGGAATCTTTACATGAAGATCATGATCTGTAAAATGGGTCAGAATTTTTAACACAGAAGCAAGATAGTGCTTTGTATTCATTCTCTTCATATATTCTCTATGTATTTTAAAATCTAAGTAAGATGTAATCCTGGGCTAGAGAGATGGATCAGTGATTAAGAGCACTCGATGCTCTTGCAGAACACCGGGGTTCACCTCCCAGAACCCACATGGAGACTAACAACTGTAACTCCAGTCCCAGGGGATCCAACACCTTCTTCTGACCTCCAGACATGGCACAACATGGGTGCACTTACATACATGCATAAACTCATATGCATAAAAAAGATATGTAATTCTTCCAAATGAATTCCAGACTCATGCATTTGAGAACATGAAATGGATACGTTCACAAAGGATGTCCTAATGCCTCAATCACTGGTCTCTCTTATTATCTTTAATTAAGCTAGCTGGGCTGATGCCATGTATGCAGTCCTATTCCAATGTTGATCTAGCACTAAGAGCTTGAAATGGCACCATTAATTCTACCCAAGACTGGAAAAATTGTTATGTTAAAAGTGCTAAAAATTAAGCAAGTCGCTCTCAATGGAAGGAACTAACCTTCCCTAGGTAAAACGATATTCCTCCCAAAAAAACATATCCTAGAGCAGTACTATTTTCTGGATGGGGTTGGAGGAAAATAAAAAGGAAGCCATAAAATATATTTCTAGGTGGGAGTGATGGCACACTCCTTTAATCCCAGCACTTGGATTAAAGGAGGCAGAAGCAGGCAGAGCTCACTGTGAGTTCAAGGCCAGCCTAGTCTACATGGTGAGTTGCAGGCCAGCTTGGGCTACAGGGAGACTCTGTCTCAAAAACTAAAAAAAATTTATCTCTCTCTCTCTCTCTCTCTCTCTCTCTCTCTCTCTCTCTCTCTATTTCGCTTTATTCTTTTACAGTGGTTTGTGATATACTTAATACACTCACTCATTGGAAACTGAAAGTATGGCTGTCATAGATCATTCTCTAGACCATACAGAACAG